CCTATTCAGTCTCTCGACAAACTGGTCCATCATGGCCTGCACTGGGCCAGTTATTAGGTTTACCTTGTGCCATCGAACACCCTGTAGTACCTTGAATATTCATTCTATTGAAGTTGTAGTTTCTATGTCTAGAATGCTCTAATAAGCTCTCTATTCAGAGTTTAGACAAGGATCTCGAGATATAAAATATGCCCTCCTAATACTTTCCCCTTTGCTACAGTACAAATTAAGTGAATAGCCCTCGTCTTAATCTTCTACTTAATCAAATGTACAATGATTTTTAAGTCGCTATGATTTTTCCCGCGCTTATTTCTTTTCACGCATCAAAAAACTGTCTTTTAACCTTTTGGTTTGATACGGAGTCTGCATTTTAAGTAATTCTGATGAACATGGCCTAGATAAAGCCTACCCTTATTTTTTTAGGCGTCAGAATAAGGGCTACTTTTAAAGTCAACACGACAAGAACTAAATGCACGGAATAATATTTCAGGATGCATAAAAGCATATTTGTAGCCAAGACGAAGGAATTTTAGCAAATATAGTTTTAACATTTATTCAATTTGGGTCCAAGTTTTGCTGAGTTTATGGCATAAAAACGAGCAGCTTGCTCGGTTGAGTTCATACCAAATTCATAATAGTTGCATCTCTATAAGCATCTCGCTCCTGAGAAAATGTTAATTAGCATAGGAAGCAATCATCAACGAGAAAAATGTCCTATTTTTAAATTGCCTTATAACCTGACCTTTGATTCATTCTTATTATTTCGTTTGCACTCTGCTCAGATTGCTCTAAGTCACATCTCAGTGGATTTGGTTCCAGTGCCACGTGGCTTGCACATAACAACCATCGTGCGAGCCTCAGCAGGCCAAGCGACAGGAGTAGAGATGGAGGCGTTGACTGCAGCCTCGATCGCAGCACTCACCGTCTACGACATGTGCAAAGCAGTGCAGCCCGGCACCATCTGCATCGAGTCACTGCGGCTAGTTAAAAAGTGCGGAGGCAGCAGTAGCTAACTTGCAATACATGAATTCGGGGCCAATCCTATTTAAACAACGGCTATTATAGGATGATGATATACTGACCAACTTTTCATAACTTTTACTTTGCTTAGTTGACCACTGACATGAAGAAGTGAGAAAGTTTCGCGAAAGGCAATCTTATAACCGCTTTCTATATTAGAGCAATTCGCTCACGCAAAAATTACCATAAACTATACCTTACTGTTGATATAAAGAAAATAATTTTGTTAGCCCAAGTAAGCTTAATAATTTTCTGGGCTTATTAAGGCTATTGACGCTCCTGAAAGATTTATCTTACCTTAACAAAGTTAGTGCACGAGCATACGAAGCTTGCAGAGCTTAAGAATTTTTATGGCTCGTAATTCTATTAATTAAAAATTGATGCTAATGAATAGCAACTAAACCTTACAGTTTGGTTTTGAAATTTAATGGGTTTTGGGGACTTGGTGTTAAATTTATTTTAATTTCTATTTGAATCTGTCTCATTTTAATTCAGAAAAGTTCTACTCAAACTTTTATTCTTTTGCTTTCAAAATTTGCCTATTAGTGAATATCTGTCAACAAGCCTAAGAATAGCCTCCTAATGTTACACCTTATCCGAGCTACAATATGGCAGTAAAGGAATTGAGGCCAGACCTATGTCTGGGCTTTAGGATAAAGGAATTGTTGCTAATATTCCTTTCTGCATTTTGGCTTCTAAGAAACTGTCATTGCATTTACTTGTATAGGAAGATAAATTGGGTTGCGTTGAATTTTCATTTTGAAATGTCACTAAAGATTTAGAACCTAAATTTGAGAATGTTGTTCGCTAATATCAAGACAAAGCATACAGAGGTTCTGATGGCATATTTTTTAGTAACTCTGTTAATGCTAAGACAATGCCTAAAAAGTGAACATGAGAATAGGGTGTTTTCTTGATTATTCAACTTTTCAACAGAATTAAGGGTGCCTTAATCATTACATTTCTCTTTTCATCCTTGAGTAAGTGAGTATTTAATTTGCATTAATTTTAAGTCTAGTATCACTATTGGCAGAAGTCAAAGCAACATATATAAAATAAAATGCAATTAAAACACAAGACATTTCAAAAAGCATTAAGTGCGTTTAATCACCTTAGTCGCCTTAGTACTCGCCATGGTAGTGTCAAACTAAGCTGGCTTACCGATACTTATACTCCGGCAGAGCCAGGCTGCCTTTGAGCGCAAAATCACGAACATTATTATAACCCCAGAAACTAATTTAAATATCCCCAAAATGCCTTAATCTCTGTTCTTCTCAGTCCGTAGATGCTTATGTCTGGGTATTTATTCATTTAGAGCATAAATAACTCAATTTTTTCTGAATTTATGAATGAAATGTGAATTTGCCTTTAATGGACATCTGCTCTTCTTTATATCTCAATTTACGAACCTAGGAATTAATATTCTAGCAGAATGTCACCTTACCTAGTGGTAACCGCAGAAAGAGCATGCTTTTCGAAGAAAATTTCGGTATGATGAGCATGTATTTGTCTCTGATTCAGCAATTTTAATCTCCTTTCTTCATAGTTTCTATTTCACTCTACTAAATGGGGCCTCATGCGGAACACTTCTCTTATTGGGTGTAATCATGATAAATGTGCCTTACTTTCAGAGCCTGGCACACAAATGCTTTAATTTTATATCTTGTTTAGTCAACTAAATTATGGATAAAAATCACCATCAATTGAGGCTATATTCACATTTGCTATATCGGATTTAAGAATCTCCAGGCTTAAAAGTGGTTTTACTCTTATTGATGTCGGCTTTTAGTAACCTATTTATTTGCATGCTATATTTATACAGTTAAATAAATCCTTATATCTACAGTGATAATGTGCAAATAATAAAATAGATAGAGGGAATTTGCTCGTTAACCTTCCTACTTTTCCTATATTAATATTATTATCTTCTCTAGGTATAAAATCTTCATTAGTGAGGTATTTTGCTCAAATAGACACTTTTAATTGCATGATCAAAATTTGTGGGCATAGTGAATATGCTGCGACTCCTCTTTAAATAATAGTCTTCATAGCATGAAAATACAACTAGCTAACTAGAATTTAAAATCTTATAGAGACATTTTCACAAAATCTCCTATCTTATTATTCGAGGGTCAACTCTGAATCAAAAATATTTGGCTGACAATTTATTTTTATCGGATTAATATTGTTACCATTGGATTTGTAGTTCGAGATTTCTTTCCAAAAGTAATTTTTCGATTTGCATGGTCTATTGTTTTCTATGCGAAGCCCAATCATGCTTTCAAAGCCAATTGATAATATTTAAAAATCTTTAGTTGTATTTGAAAAATAGAAATAAATCGATTATCTTCCTTCTTAATACCTTCAAATATGAGCCTATATTAATGAGATATGGGAAACAGATCCTATCTCTGGCCTAAATACTTTGCAAAGCCATAACGATTAAAAGTAGGTGAATAAGCAGGCATTCTTCTCCTTTTATCCTCAAAAACGACAATCATAACCCAATATAGGAATTTTGTTGCTATGCTCTACATAGTAATAGGCATAAATACATTAGCTAAGAATTTTATTGCATCTTGATACAGCTTCATGACTCGATTCATAGACTGTTTTCTCTCAAGCCAATTCAAGACTTTATTAGCTTTCTTATGCTAAATGGTTTTACATATCTTTGTCTTCGGATTATTTGATATACTCCTAAGAGCTACAAAATGTGATGAAGTTAGGTGAAGCATATAGATTAACTATACGAACAATAAGAATGCTATGTTTTAGTTTCACTATAAGACTCAACTTGGAAAGAAGACCAGGGAGCAGGTAATAAAAGACCAAGAACAAGACATTTTTATATAATAAAATAGTTATTATGTTTATCAGTAGAGGAGTATGCTCTGTATTGTCTGAACTCCTGAGGTACCCGTATGTGAAGCAGGGGTGAATAAAAGGTATTACGAAATCCCTTGGAGACGTTTCCAATAGTTAATATGGTGAAGTTTATTTGGGTTAGATGCAAACGAAGGGAGAACCTCCTGGTTCACGGAAAATTGAGCATCGCTACTGTAAATGCGCGATAAGTTGGGAATATATGCTGATTCCATGACTCAGGGATAAAACCGGAAGCTTTTGGCGCATAAATTGAGGCGCGCAGGTTAAGTGCAAGCGTAGAGTGCGAAAAGCTAAGGTTTGAGCACAGTTATATTTTCGCTGAAATTCCTGTCTTTAATATTCAAATAAGTGAAAAATACTCCAGATATAGGAAGAAGGTAAACCAAGAGGAATTTTAAGGACGAATCACTACGCATACCTCAACGAACTTGTTGCCTTAGAGACTGAATCAGCAAACCGAAACGACTATGGGAAACCTGAAATTAAAAGCCAACAATGCAAAGTTTAAAGTAAAGTTCGAATAGCCCACTGAGGTAACCACAGCTGAACTGATGGGGGGAAAATGATGACAACTAAAGCTCTACTAAGTGCTTATGCTGAGCTGTGGAAGCCTAGAAGTGGAAATAAGATATGGTGATCTAGGCTACTCTGTCTTTATTAGCCTATCAGCATTGGTAAACAGGCTAATTTCTGATGTTGAAGAATCAGTAACTACAGCATAACAGACCGGGCACCACAACATTTGATAAAATATCTCATATACCATAGGTTTGAAATATAGAAAAAATATATATATAGAAATATATATGAATTTTTAAATAAATTATTAATCGAATTCTGTATAATTATAAATAATAATACCGATCTATCAAGCCATTTGCATATTGAATAATAGCATTAAAATAATCCCAAGAATATAAATACTTATAAATTTACATGACCTTGCACATAATAAGCAACATATTAATCATTTGTGTGCCAAAAAGGTGAAAACCCAAATACGCTTGTTAATAACTTATCAAAATCAAGTGTGCCACAGTTCAGATATAGGTAAGTTTCAGACAGGTATTGACTTTTTCGCAGCAGATTCATCACCATAAATAAAACAAGAACACATATTTACTTGCAGGCCAAGGTAAACCTTATATAGGCCAGTAGCTATGAAAGCTGAGTAGCTAAGACTCAATGTCGGATGGCTACCATAGTAATGAGCTTTGTAAATAAGGGAAGTTGGCCTTCTTTTCACTAAAGTGTCACAGAAAGTGTTGCAATTTATCTTTCTTGCCTTATACATGGACAACTAAGTATAAGTAAGGCAAACTTTACTTCTATACGAAGCTCACTACTATGGTATCCATTCCTTTTTTACTTTAAGCCACTCATCCTTCATAGCCGCTAGCCTATCTTAGGCCGACTTGGACCTACAGGAAAAGCTGATTACATCGTGTTCATTTAATATACAAGATTAAATCGATGGCCTACAATATTCATGTAATTTATTT